AGGGAGGGAGGGAGGGAGGGAGGAAGGAAAAAAGGGGAATGAAGAGGGAGAAGGGAAAGGGGAAAACAGAAGAGAAAATAATAGAAGTTAACAAAAAAGGAAGTCAGAGAGTGAATAAACGGACTAGTCCAGACTCAAAAGTCTGGGCAACACAAAAACCCTAGCCGATGAACTTGGTCAAAAACGGGCAAATGAGACTAGCCAGCAAGTATGTCCCATGACCAAAGCAGGTGTCTGGTACATTGGTTCTGGGTCTTATGGCAGCAGAGACTCCCAAAAAGTCACAGTATTTGTCACTAAGGCTCTAGGTCTGGAAGGGTAATGATACCAAGCTCCCCAGATTAAGAGGAGACCAGCAGACCTAGCTTGATCATGGGTATAATGAAGAGCTTGGTCTTGGAATCACATACCTGATTTGAATCCCAGCTCAGTCATTAAGTCAGGTCATTTAACCTCTCGGAATTTTTTTATCTTGAAAGTGGGGATAGTGCTACCTTGCAGGATACTTATGGAGATCAAAGGTAACAGGTGTACAATAACTGGTGCTCAGTAGATATTTGCTAGATGGTGACTTTTATTATTAGGGCATGTGGGAATTCATACATGCAAGTTTGGGTGACTGTAGTTTAAAATATTTTGGAGGGCCGGCCAAGTGGCGTGTTGGTTAAGAGCTGCCTTGGGACTCCAGTTCTAAGCAGCAGGATCCCGGTTCGGATCCCACATGAGGGCCAGTGATGCTGCGCCCTCTACAGCTAAGATGGTGAACAACTGCTCGACCTGGAGCTGGGCTGCAGTGAGTTGCCGGTGACGGCGTGGGCTGCCACAAGCTACCGTGAGTGGCTGGCAGCCAGCGTGAGTGGCCGGCAGCTGCTGTGAGCTACCAAGAGCCACCGTGAGTGGCCGTCCAGAGGCCAGCGACCGATCTTCCTGACCCGGGAAGAACGCAATGATAATACCAACATGGGCCAGTGAAGCAATGTCCTCCACAACTAGACTGAAGAACAGAAGGACAGCAACTTGTCTGTTCCCCTTCCCCTGATTCCCCAACGCTGTTCCCCTCCCCCAATTTCCCAATTTAAAAAAAATCTTTAAAAATAAATAAATATTTTGAAGATTTTCAAGGAGCTGGAAAATATATGTGAAATAAAAGTGCTTTTTAAACTGTGAAGTGTCCTACAAATGTCAGGGAATCATTTGGGAAGACTCTTCTAGTTGGGAAAAATACAGGATTTGGATTTGGGCGGCAGGTTCTGTTCCTGACCTTGCCACTTACCTGCCATATAATCTTGGGCAAGTCACTTTCTGTCAACCTGTTTCTGCAACTGTCAAATGTGGATAATTCTAACTTCACAGGGTTGTCATAATTCCGTAAAGTGAAGAATGTAAACTCTGGGCGCATCCCTTCCTGGGTGGGTAGTGGGGTCACATGTGGTAAGTCAGGTCATGGGTGGTGTCAGTTCCAAGCCTGGTGCCAGATTCATTGTCAGTTGGCTACATATGAAGAGGGTCCCTCACTCTGGAGGAGCAGGACCCCAGATTGGCAAGGAGAGGGGTCTTTTGTATTTGTTGGGGGAAATCTGGGTGAACACGAAACTTCCATGTAGAAAACACTGAACTCTGCCATGTGGAACCAGGCCTAAAGCAGGGCAGGAGGCCAGGCGTGACCCTGCCAAGCTGTCCCAGGCTAGGGAACTAAACTATTGCTACTAGGACAAAGGCTCTCATTATGGGGTCATCTATCCCATCCCTCCCCTCCTACTCTCTGCTACTGTCATTTTTCCTGGGCACAGAATTAGTGGCTCAGTTAATAAAGTTGAAAAGGTTGGCACCGAGGTCCCACAGAACAAATGGTCCAGGGCCCCATCAAGAGGCCATACTAGCTCCCACCTCTAGGCAATCACGTGGTCCCAGGCCAGCCCCTTAAGTAGCTCCTTCTTCAGAAGTCAACAAGGTTAATGTAGTGAAAAGAGCATCAGCTCAGAATCAACGGAAGACCAAGGCTGAACTCTCAAGTGGCTTAACCTTTCCTCACTCGTTTCCTCATCTTATTCCCTTGAAGGTTGCTGTGACAATTAAATGAAATGAAGAGTGTACATGTGACTCGTAGGATCTATGGAATATTATATAGTGGATGCTCAATTAATTTTCCTAACTTTCCTTTCTCCTCCCTCCTCAGAGGCCTGGAGACTCAGCCTGCTTTCCTTTGCTTTTCAGAGCAACCACCACTCTGTCTTTCTTGAAATTCAACTCCATTCCGGAGTAGCTGCAGAGAGATCATCTCCCCAGCTCCCCACTTCTTTGATGCCCCCAAATAAGTACACAGGTCCTTTTCATTGAACGGTTTTACTGCTAATCACTTGGGGAACAGATGCAGGTTGGGGTGGGGACAACAAGTCACAAACATGGGAGACTGTGAAGGTCCCTGGATCATGGCTCCCTGAGGGTTTCCCTTTCATTCCTAAGGCAGGACCTCAGACATCCTCTCCAAGCCAAGGAGGCCCCTTCCTCTGGGGAGGCTGCTCCTCCCAGCCCCACTGGGGCACAGCAGATGGGAACTAGCAGGCCACTGAGTGTGTCCTAGGCAGTTCATACATAATTTGGAGGACCTCAGACAGTGATGCCCCTCTCACAGGTACTTCCTCAAGGGCCAGGGACAGTTCCCCTAATGATAGGGGCATGTACTAAGCCTACCCTATTGCTCTCTCACCCTAAGGAGATGACGCAAAGACCAGATCCTCTGACTTCCCAAGGCAAGAAATTGGCCTGGAAAGGGGCAAGGATCTTTACTCAGGGTCCCTTCTCAGAACTTCCCGGAGATCCTGGCTTCACAGGCAACAGGAAACCATTCTCCAAAGTGGGATGAAGGGCTGAGGTCTAGGGGGCAGCAGCGGATCCTAAAGATCTTCCTGCAGTAGGAGGGGTCTCTCCTCTCTCTCCCGCACTCTCCCTCAGCTGGAATCTTTCCCAGCCTGCTCCCCCATGTGCGTTTTCTGGTGGCGGATGAGATTTGAGCTCCGGGAGAAGTGTTTCCCACACACAGTGCATCGGTAGGGCTTCTCGCCTCTGTGGGTCCTCTGATGTGCTCCAAAGTTGGAGATGTCGCTGAAGGTCCGCCCACATTCGGCGCACTCGTAAGGCCTCTCGCCTGTGTGCGTGCGGTGGTGCACCCCAAAGCTGGAGCTGTTGCTGAAGCTCTTCCCGCACTCACAGCAGATGTAGGGCGCCGGCTCAAAGTGGGTCCGGTGATGCACAGCCAGCGTGGCGCTCTGGCTGAAGCTCTTGCCACAGATGTCACAGCGGTACGGCCGCTTGCCCAGGTGATCTTGCTGGTGCGTGGTGAGATCCGAGCGCCGCCGAAAGCTCTCCTGACACTTGGGACATTTGTAGTGCTTCTCTTCCAGGTGGATCCGCTCATGCCGGATGCGGTTGGAGCTTCTGGAGAAGCTCTTGCCACACTCAGAACACTTGTAAGGTTTCTCACCAGTGTGGATCCGCTGGTGTGTTCTCAGGTTGGACGTATTATTGAAGGTTTTGCCACACTGGGCGCATATAAAGGGCTTCTCATCGGCCTCAGGCTTTGGATGAGCAATGGGGTCCCCTGTCTCTCCAGCAGAGACAGTGACTTTCTGCCATGGCTTTTTTGGATGGATCCTTTGTGGCCCCTCCGACTCTTGCCCAGGATGTTTCTCCCCATCGGGGACCCGCAAACCCTGGGAGTCATCCACTCTCCAAGGCTTACCCCGTTCCCCTTCCTCAGGCAGGTGCTGTTCTGGATTCTGCTCCTTCTCACTGCCCATCTCTGAACCCTGAGAATGAACACAAACGGTCAACGCCTTTATTCCTTGGGTCAGGTCAGACCACAGGGAAACTTCTGTTTGAAGGGGTATACACCTTCCCCATTGAACCATCCATCAGAAATAGCCTCAATTAACTGGAATACTTGCATAGAACGGCTTTACCTACTAACTTTCAAGTGACAAACTTCCAGATATTTAATGCTACCAAACCAGAACAAAAAGAAGGCACTGCTTTGTCCACTACCAACAGATATTTGTACATGAGTTCAGTTTTTCTGCCTAATTGTAAGTTAACTGAAACTCCTTTTATTTTTAATCTTTTTTGAAAAACCTTCCTTAAAAGCATCCATCTAATTGCTTGCTTTCAAAATGAACATAGCAGAACCTCTAATTCTGGATGCTCTCCTAGTTGTGTACAAGGCCTAGCTTTGAATCCTCTTAAGAGTTCTACCACCCTCCCCTCCCTCAGACCTCACCATAGTCTAGCAACTAAAGGGTTAACATCGGAGACCTCCAAGACCTACTGCAGGGCCTGGGCTGTGTCTGTTGTGATGGGTCAGTACACATTTTCACTCTCAAACACCACACACAGCCACATGCATCCACACATAAAGTCACACATACATACTCACATCACACGCATAGCCATACTCACACACCAGACACATTCAGTCACATTCTCATACCACACATACACAGCCACACAGACACACAGACACTCTCACAGCACACATAGCACACACAGACATATCAAATACACCATACACAGTCCTCCCACATACAACCACATACATGGCTACACAATCACACACCATACACACATACAGCTATACTCTCACACCACATACAATCTCACACACTCACATGCCACATACACACAGATACACACAGAAACACAAACCACACTCTCCCTTCCCCCCATAGCTACACACACACAGACACTGCCCGGCACAAGACCTACCAATGCAAACATCAGTAAATGCTTGCTAAACTGCACAGACTCCTTTGAGGTCCTACAGCCAAGGACAGGGAATGAGTGGAAGAAAAAGGTACTTCTGATAAGAGGACAGTGTGGTGTTTCCTCTGGGCCTTGAAGAATTACATTTCGAAATGTAATTCCTGTGGGCTGGTGAAGATACTGTAGAGTAAAATGAACAAAGGGACGAGGGAGGGAAGCACAGACTATGATAGGACATTGATGATAGAAAATGAAAGATTAGTAATTCCTTCACATCAGCAAGTGCTTTTGGAAAACAGCAACACAGAGTGATGGAAAGGGCACTGACTACATTTAGGGTTGGAGCCCAAGTGTGACACATGCTATCTTCATAACTGAAAATTATTCAACCACTCTGAGCCTCAACTCCCACATTACTAAAACTGACACTTACCTACAGTGCAGGACTTTGTTAGAGAAAATGCCTATAATATGCTCAGTGTAGTGCGTGGCATGCACTAGTCATTCAGCAAATGACAGTTGCTACTGCAGTTGTTGAAGATGCTATATCCTAGCCCTATAGAGAATACAAGAATAAAAAAGATCCCCTATGTGATCTTGTTAGGAAAAAACAACAAAACTTTTAATTTAAAAATGGTACAAGACTGTATAGAACCTAAATTGAGAAATACGGGCAGAGCCTCAAATCTTTAAGAAGTAGGAGTCAGCAAACGTTTTCTGTAAAGCGCCAGATAGTAAATATTTAGTAACTATTTGGGGCCATAGGATCTCTGTCACAACCACTCAACTCTATTGTTGTATTGCAAAAGCAGCCATAGATAATCCATAAAAAAATGAGTGTGGCTCTGTCCCAATAAAGTTTTATTTAAAACAAAAGGAGGCAAGCTATAGTTTACCAACCCATTAAGAGTTTCTTGAAGAATCTAGATAAGCAATGAGAAAAATAATAGGCTTGCTTCACTTTCGAATATGCAAGTAACTGTCAGAAATGATTTTCTTGGTATTCACTGTTTCCTGACCATCCTTTGAAAAATTATAAACCTCTCCCACACTCAGTCCTCCTGCCGCACACTTCTCACCTTCTAACATTCCATTTTATTTATTATGTCTGTTATTTTATTGTCTGTCTTCCCCTTTTAAAACATAGTCCATGAGGGCCAGGGTCTTTGTTTTCTTCACTAATGTAACCCAAACTTCTAGAGTAGGAGCAGTCAGATAGCGTAGATCCGTAATAAGTATGTGTGGAATGAGTTGAATAAATGAAGGCCTCCTTTATGCCTCCACAGAATCTTGGACTTGCTTTCACAGTGATTTGCAATTATCTGTTACATGTCTGTTTCCACTAGTAGTTTATAAGCAACTTGAAGGCAGGGACTGGGTCGTTTTGGTTATCTCTTCCCCAGCACAAGGCCCAGGGCTCAAATGTTTTTTGAATGTATGAGTGAATATGATCTTAATTCACCCCCTGCCCGTGCCCACTCCACCTAGGGCTGCATGCAATGAGCTACACAGCCTCCACTCGCTTCCAATCCTGCTACTCTGAGAACCTATACTTTACCAAGCTCTGACTCTACCCAGGGCTGAAAACCTGTACTTTTATCCACCACACTAATGTTGGAGGGAGAGAGAGGGAGGGAGAGAAGGAGGGAAGGAGAGAAGGAAGGAAGGAAGGAAGGGAGGGAAGAAGGGAGGGAGGGAGGGAGACAGGGAGGAAGGAAGGAAGGAAAAACTGTCACTGGAATTCAGATGACACTGGCATGTCTCCTTAAAGAGATCAGGGATGTGCAGCTTCGTGGAAAAGGTGGCATTACAGCTAGGACTTGCAGGATAGGTGAGCAAGATTGGGACTCACAGAGCTGGGGAACCCACTATCTTCTGAGAAGACAGTGACAGGTAAAGTACAGAAGCACTTTCATATCCCATTTCAGAGACGTGGGGGAGAAAGGTGCCCATCCAGCTTGTGTGCCCCAGAGGCTTAGAGGTACAGGGAGGACCAAAGGTGGAAGGGTTTCAGGCAATGGAGAAGGGGCCAGGTCTAAAAAATAAGAGCCAAGAAGATGGGGTTAGTCAGATGCTGAAGGCCCAAGAACTACAGGGAAGGGATCAGGCTTGAAGTTGGTCTGAAGGGCCAACGTTCGGGCTCTTTAGGGTCAAATAAAGAACTGATGGGAGGACGCGGGTAGAGAAGCTTGGAAAGACAAGAGCTCAGGTGAAGAAGAGGGAATTGTACAGGAGAGCTGGATGACTGATCGGAGATAGAGGGGGACCAAAGAAGTCAGAGGGTCCAAGAAGATGATCAGGAGACAGGGCGCAAACGCTGCAATCAGAGGTGCCAGGGGACCGGGGCTCAAGAGGCTGGGCTGTGTGTTGTGGGTGGGGGGAAGCCGATGGCGGAGTCCGAGGGTACAGCCGTTCTGGAAGGCAGGAGCTGGACTGAGTTGCCGGCGGGTTTGGGACCAGAGGAGTGGGCGTGGAGGAGTGACCCCAAAGGTGTGGTCAGTGGCAGCGGGGCTGGAGTGCGCAAAGGCCAACAAGGGAAGGGCCGGCGGGTAAGAGCTGGGGCCAGAAGCCTGGCGCGCGGGCCGGGAGAGGGGTACAGGGATCGGGGCGGCGGGAATCACAGGGCCCCATTTGCCCCCACTGAGTTCGGGGAGCAAAGCAATAGCCTCTCGCTCCCCAAAGAGCGGGAAGGGGGCAGGTTCAGGGTCCCCCGCGAGGCAGTATCTGCCTACCCCCGCGACCTCCGGCCCAGCCCGGACCCACCTCGCTCCCGCCGCTCGGTCAGGGACAGCGCCGCCTCTGTGGGCCGGGGGAGGAGCCGGAGCCGGAACCCAGACAGGATCCTCTCTGCCTCTCTAGGATTGGTTGGTCAAGATATCCTTACCTTTCCATTGGCTACACTAGCTGCCACAACGCAAGAAACCCAGGCGGGGCCGCCAATAAGCTTTGGCCTTGGGCGTGGCCTGCTGGGAGTTGTAGTCCTGAGGAAGATCGTAGACTCCGAGAAATTTGCAGTTAGGAAACCAGAGGTGGAGATTGGGTTTCCATCTAAAGTCGTCAAATTTCCTTCTTCGCTTCAGCGTTAAAAGCCCAACGTGCGGAGAAGTTGTACGATAGATAGATCTAACCTATATAACCTCCAAGGGGTCATGAACTCAGAGTTTCTTCTTTACTTTGAGTTGGTGACTTGTCGATCATGCAGACATCCCACGAAGCCTCGAGTCCCGTGCCTCACTTGATGTTCGTAGAACTTCACAATTTAAAGTCAAAGGATTGTAGAACTGAAGGGAGTTTAAAGATCAACTAATCCAATTCCACTTGTCAGAGAAGCTAACCTTCCCTGTCCAAGAAGCCATCTCTGGGTCTCCCAACAACCCTGTACAGGCTTTTTCCAAGTCCTACGTAGTTAAACTTACCTGTCATTCATCAATCCTGACTGAGCAAGACCACTAATGTATATCCAGGATTAGTATTTTCTTTTCCAGGTTTCACTAAAAAAAAAAAAAAGAAGAAAAAAGAAAAAGAAAGTCTAACTGAATAGGTAGGCTAAAATTCTACAGGCTTCTCAAATCTGCACGGTATTTCAGAGCAGAGTATTATCTTCAGAGCTAGATAACCCAGATTTGTATTCTCAGTTCTACCACCTGGCCATTTGTAGCACCATTTTTCTCCCTTATAAAATCCCTGGCAGGATTGTTGAAAGGATTGAATGAGTTAGCATATATCAAGCTTCTGCCTCCAGAATGTCCGGTGTCTTTCCTGCTGGTACGTTCTCTTTGGTACAACCAGAGTGAACAATGTGAGTTACTTTTAAGATTGTGATATTCAGGAAAATACGTTTGAAACTGAATATGGATGAGTGAAATATAAATACTCCACATACACTATAAGCATATAATTGATTTAAATAAAATGCTGAGAAGGCAGACTCAGAAATAAAACTGTGGCTTTATTTTTAACTGTGGTTAAAGCTTGCTTGGGTGGATTCAAGGCTGCTTGGAAATCAGCCCCATCACGTGTTTTTCTCTTACCAGCCCAAAGCCTTTTCCTACAACTTCTCATTCACGGTGAAAATAACATGCCAAACAAAGAATATCAAACCTTTATTTAAGAACTACACAAAAGAAAACAAAAAATTCCAGTTGGGCACTGTGGTGATTAATTTTATGTGTCAACTTGACTGGGCTACAGGGTACCCAGATATTTGGTCAAACATTATTCTTGGTGTTTCTGTAAGGGTATTTTTGGATGAGATAAACATTCAAATCATTAGCTTGAATAATGTAGACTGTCCTCCCTAACATGGGTGGGCTTCATCCAATCAGTTGAAGGCTTGAATAGAACCAAAAAATGACCCTCCCCCCTTGTAAGAGAAGATTCTCCCTACTTGACAGCCTTCCGACAGGGACATCCACATTTTTCCTACCTTCAGACTCAAACTGAAATAGCGGTTCTTCCTGGGTCTAGAGCCTGTCTGTCTTTAATCTGGAATTACACCATAGGCTCTCCTAGGTCTTGGGCCTTCCAGACTTGGACAAAAGAAAAACCATTGGCTCCCCTGGGTCTCTGCAACTTGCTAACTAACCCTGCAGGTCTTAGGACTTGCCAGACTCCATAATCACATGAGCCAATTCCTTGTAATCTCTCTCTCTCTCTCCCCCTCCCCACTTATATATAGATAGATAGAGATGATATAGATATAGATATAGATATAGATATAGATATAGATATAGATATAGATATAGATATATAGATAGATATATAGATAGATAGATACAGATTCTGTTTCTCTGGAGAACCCAGGCTAACACAGAGTGACAGAGAGAGCTTCTGACAGACAGAAAGATCCAGTTTCTATTGGGTAGAACCAAGTACCCATCTGCAAACTGAGTCAGTATCTCTAAAAAGAGGCCAGATCACATAGGTAGCGTAACTTGATAGTGATTGGCTTCTTTCTGCAATCTACACCAAAAAATCAGGTTCAGAGGCCGGCCAAGTGGCTCAGTTGGTTAAGAGCTCGCTCAAGAGTGACAGCTCTGAGCAACAGCAGTTCCAGTCCCGACCTGACCTGAGCTGCTACTGAGCTGCCAACAGGTGGCAGGATGGCTCAGCTAAAAAAAACCCAAAAAAACTAGGCTCATTATTTTATCTTCACACCTGGTCTATCAATTTCTTATTTAAAAGCAATACTGTCTGATCCAAGAGTCTGTTTGCTACACAAAAAGTCGTCTTCCAGTATAATGTCTTGTGGAAAAAAACAATCCACACTGGTGGTTAAAACTGCTGCTTTTCTATCTAGGCCTCTCTGAATCCCAGGAGAGTATTCAAAGGGCCAATGCAATAGACTGACTCACCCGTGGCTGTCTTTTCAAGGCCACACGCAGCTGGGATGCTGTGTTTGAAGCTGTGCTTCCTAGCTCCCTGATTGTGCCTCTGAGGCTTTTCAGGGTTACGGCTACCATGTTTAAAGTCCCTGTACCTGGTTATCAACAGGTTAATTAGCTTTGAAAACATGTACATTAGCTCTGGATGTCACCAAGCTAACAAGTTAACATGTTGTAAACAGCATCAAGGAAATAGACAAGGATGGCGTGTTTTACCCCTCTGGCCCACCCCACCTCATATTCCAGAAGGAAGAAGGAACATTGCATGATCCAAAACATGTTTACTTTTAAAAAACTGGCTTTGGGGGCTAGAGGCCTGAACTAAAAAAAGGAGAAAAGCAATTCTTGATAAGTAAGGAGTCAGGCACCAGGCCCCATAATTTCGTGACTAAAAGCCGGAGCGCAGGATGAAGTCCTTCTAAATAGCCCCTTGATTGGAGAGCCCTTGGACCTCAGGGACACACATTCAACATCACCACCTAAACCCAATCTGACTGTTCATTTGGTTTTCAAGAATTCTTCCAGGGCAATGGGAACTTCAAGTCCCCAGGAGGAGATAGGATTTAGAACAGGGCCCTGGGAGAAAGGTGGTAGGAATAGAAACCACAAAAGGGTATGGATTTGGGGAAAAGAGATGAGACGTCCCAGAACCTAGTGTTGGCCCAGGAGACTGAAATCCAGAACACAGGGCTAGAGGGCCAGGGGAGCAAGTCATGAGGCACCTCCTCCCTAAAAAGAAGGAAACTCGCGCCCCTGGAGGGCTGGGCGAAGGTCAGAAGGCCAAGGCAGCGTCATGTCCTTGAGCTCCGGAAGGAACAGTAAGGAAGAGTCCACCTTCAGGGCCATATCTCCATTAGCATGGCTTTTTTCTTCTAGCTTGGGGACAGTTGATTCCTCCGGTTTCTGGAGCTCTGAACAGATGATTAAAGGTGCCGTGTTTTTCCCTCCATCATGAAGGCAAGGTTCAAAGAAAGGGCGAAGGGGGCCGGAGAACGTGTGGGTGAAAGTAAAGATGTGGGATTGGTCGGTCACATTATAGAAAGAGATGATGCCTGCTTCGTAGTCCAGGAAAATCCCCACACAACGCGGAGGCTCTTTCAGGCGGAAGGAGATCTGCGGAGACGTCAGAGCTTCGTACTGATTCCCGCGACTCTGTCGCACAAGCCAGTGTCCGTTGGCGGGCGAGGCGGTGACCTTCCCCTTCCTGCTCACTGACTCACTACACACCCCCAGAATCCATTTGGTCTTGTTTCCCACGTACACCTCCCAATAGTGACAACCATCCATGAAGTACTCGGAGCCCAGGACGCTGACGACGAAATCAAATCTCTGGGGATTGTCGGGCACAGGCTGCCTTCTGTCTCCAAGCTTCACGCGTCTGCGGTCCTCAGACAGGAAGAGTTTGGGATGCGCTGTGTCAGGGTCTAGGGTCACCGCCACTGCAGAGAGGCACAGAGAGGGGAGGTTCGGGAAGGTTAGGTCTTATGGTATCTTTGGGTAGCTTTGGAGGGAAAAAAATCTCTGGGCCTGCAACTCCTGTCATTGGCACTTTTTTTTTTTTTTTTTAAAGCTGAGCCATCCTGCCACCTGTTGGCAGCTCAGGGGCAGCTCAGCTCCAGCCGGGGGGGGGGGGGGGGCTTCATTGGCATTGGCACTATTTTGGTTCATGGTCCCCCTCCCCCATATGTACCGGAACCAAAAAAAGTGTTTTCTGCTTTCTAGAGCTGGTCATGTGTTAAGTAAAAGAGGAGAACATTTTTCATCTGTGAAACCGCCTTAATCCTTAGGAAACACTGCTTTTGTCTTTGATGGTCCAAAGGAATCTGATGGATGATAATAAACATCGGTTCTGATTTAGACCCAGAAGCCACACTGGAAGTTTCAGTCGCAGCTCTGCCACATGCTAGTTATGTGACCTTGGGCTTGTAATTCATCTCCAAACCTTAGTTTTTTCATCTATAAAATGGGAAAATTAGCAGCACCTGCATTGTAGAACTACTGTGCATATTTGACGAACTAATACATGAGACAGTGCGTGTGTGATGCTCATCTTGTTAGCCAAAATTATTGCTTATAATTACTATTTTTAAATGTTAATAGAGAGAAGGGTCTTCCTTAAAATTGTGGATTAGAAAGGTCGCAGTGGATCTCCCTCCTTCCCCCAGTACAGAAAACAGGCTCTTCTTGGAGAGTTAAATCCATGAAATGCGTACTCTGCCAAGATGGTGGGAGTAAGCCAGATGGTGAGTGTGAGAAGGGTTTGTGAGTTCTCAGAATGCAAACCAAGGTGACCTGGTGTGCTGCTCTCCAGTGGCCGCCCCATCAGTTCTATTGTACCTGCCTAAAGGAAGGTGGTGTGAACTAAAGGGGGTGGGGGTGGGGATGAGCAGCTTGGAAAATTGATAAGGATCCCAAAGCAGTGAAAATAACAGATCACATTCAAACAGCAGCAACAAAATGTGAACTATGTAGGAATACATTGAAAAAGAGATGTGCAAATCTTTTAGAATAAAACTACAAAACCTTTTGTAGTTTACGTTGTTGGGGCATCTGCTCCACCCATTCCCTTCTTCTCTGAGAATCTCAATCACCAACCCTCAAAAAAACTGATCAGCAGAGGAAGAAGAATGTGGCAGATGTGTAGACAGAGACGGCAGCTCAGGCCATTTACCCAATTGTGGGGTGAGAAGGACTCCCCAAACCTGCAAGCATGGAGGAGACTACACAGGAAAAGATTCATAAATTTGACTACATAAAAAATAAAACACTCATGTGTCATAAAAATAATACAAGGAGATTAAAATGCAAATGAGGAACTCAGAAAAATAATTTGTGACAAATAGGACAGAGAGTTTCCACACTTCATATAGAAAGAACTCTCACAAATCAAAAAGTAGCCACAATAGGACAGGAGCAGACAAGTCACCAATAAGAAATACAAATAACGGGCCGGCCGAGTGGCGCGATGGTTAAGAACTCGCTTGGGATGCCAGAGGGCCCCGGTTCGGATCCCACATATGAGGGCCAGTGACACTGCC